TATATATATATATATATATAAATATATAATAATTTATATATATATAATATATATAAATATATAATAATAGAAAATAACAGAAAATATATTATTGTTATTATTATTATTATTATTATTATTATTGGGCTCTAGCATCTCCATGACCCTATAGACCCACAATTAATTTGGAGAATGGACAGAAAAATTATTATACTATATTTTTGTTTAAACATATTTATATATATATTTCGTCGTCATCTTCTTTGTCTTCTACTTTAATAGACTGATAGATGGATGGATAGATTTCTTATTTCAATTATTTGCTTAAATACATTTCTAAGTATTCTTTTTATTATTTTTTAAACTATATTATTTTTCTGTTTAAACATTTCTTCTTCTTCCTTTAAATAGATAGATAGATAAATATTAAATATAGATAAATAGATTAATACAATTATTAAATAAATGGATGAATAGATGGATTATTATTTTAATTGTTTGTTTAAATATATTTCTTTGTATTTCTTCTTTTTAGTAAATTATTATTATTATTATTATTATTATGTTCCATCATCCCCACAACCTTATATAGGACAAGCAGTTTGGAGAATGGATGGATGGATGCATGGTTGGATTTTATTTTCTTCTTCTTCTTTTTCTTATTGAATAAAAAATACTAATAATAGTTTATATATATATATATATATATATATATACCTCGTATGCAATGCTCAATATTTTGCAAGAGAATATAAAGTTGAATTATTCATTTTTTTAGATTAGCAAGTGTTCTTTTTTTTTGTCATTAAATACCAAGCTGTACATGGACAATTTGGTTTTATGAGCGTTGCTATAGTAACAAATAATATCCGTAAGTGCATAAGTTCTGAGTTGTCATCTCGTAACTGTTGCAATTCAAACATGAAAGCAGAATTAATGTATAATGGGTGTGTTCTAAATGCTTCTTGGGTAATAACCGACGGTGATTATCACAGCTTTTAACATTAATGTTCAGTGCTTTTCAAAGAATCAATAAAAGTCTCCCTGAACAAGACCTCATGATTTTATTCATTATACTGTTAGTTCACCGTGAGCGTGTTACAGCGATGCCCTCAATCTGCCGGGCTGCTGCTGCAGAGTCTCCCTATGGGACTGACTCTCTCTCACACACTGCAGTCTGACTGCATGTTTCCAGTGGAACCGCAGGTTAGTGTTGAATTCTGTATTTGAATCAGGCTTATCAGTGTATCTGCCTCGACTGCTAGAGAGTTCAGTTAAACAGCTCAATTACACCAGCAGAATATCACCCCAAACCAGAAACATGTGAAGATGATACAGGATCCTTGTAATACTCACTGATTTCAGCAGCAGTCTGGACGTCTTTGGTCGAGTCCTTCAGAGACTCATACTCCTTCTGCATTTTGGCAGCTTCTGTTTTGGTGTTGTCATCATCATCCAATGCTTTTCCTGGAACGAGGGAGCAATGATGGGGAAAAAAACAGTAGAGTGATGCCAAGTCTTCCTGAGCAGAATCTGCAGTGAATGACTTGCAGATTGCAGTGTTATAATCTGTGGTGTGTCTGATTTACCTGTAGGGGGTGTAATGCCGAGAGGAACCAGAGATTTGCCCAGCTTGTTCTTGGTCTGCAGGGCAATCATTGCATCCAGATTTTCTGTGTGAAAAACATGATATTTATAAATACTCTGATGATATTGTAAGCATCACAAGCATTTTGGAGACTATTTTTCTGTCCAATGTTCTCTACGGTCACCTTAGCTCACAATGCTTTTGAGACACGCAGCCCTTCTATTAAAGGGGTCATATGATGCGATGTTACAAGCTCTTGGTGCATAAAGAAGATCTGTGAAGTTTTTACCTGTAGGGGGTGTAATGCCGAGAGGAACCAGAGATTTGCCCAGCTTGTTCTTGGTCTGCAGGGCAATCATTGCATCCAGATTTTCTGTGTGAAAAACATGATATTTATAAATACTCTGATGATATTGTAAGCATCACAAGCATTTTGGAGACTATTTTTCTGTCCAATGTTCTCTACGGTCACCTTAGCTCACAATGCTTTTGAGACACACAGCCCTTCTATTAAAGGGGTCATATGATGCGATGTTACAAGATCTTGGTGCATAAAGAAGATCTGTGAAGTTAATTATGGCCCCACTGGATGCAACAAATGCCTAGTTTATAATGGGTTTTATTGGTTTTGTCTCGCCGTGCCGGAACAAGGCATCACAGTATGGTAAGGGGCGTAACATTTCCGTCACACGCTTGAGGTATTCGGCCAATCACAATGCACTGGATAGCTGGCCAATCAGAGCACACCTCGTTTTTCAGATCGATGAGCTTTGTAAAAATCGACGCGTTTCAGAAAGGTGGGGCATAGCGGAGAAACAATAATGTACAGTATGTGGAAAATAATGTGTTTTTTTAACCTTAAACCGCATAAACACATTTCATTACACCAAATACACAACATAATGTTCTTTTTAGCAATGTCATATGACCCCTTTAAATAATTTTAAAAGATACAACTTTTGATTTTAATATTAGTAAGTGTTGAAATTAATAATAACATTAAATTAGATTAATAAATGCTTTAAAAGTATTTAATTGTTAGTTCATATTAACCAATGTTAACAAATGAAACCTTACTGTAAAGTATTATCATTTTTCCTAGCTTTATAGTATTCATTTACAATATTTAAACTATTCAAATCAGTTTGTTGTGGCAATGAACTGATAAAATAATATATAACGATAAAATCATTCAGCAAAAACAGACCAAAAATGTAAATTTTCAAAAATTCCCCTTTCTCCATAAATTATAAGTTATACATTTTATATTATACGTAATATATTATACGTTTACAAATGAGCAACATATTATACAGTATAGGCCTATATAGCATGCCACTAATTTGTACCTTACTAATTTGTAATTTTTTCATGACAACACATTCTAAATTTTATTTTATTTTTATATTTATTTATTTAAAGTGAAAGGCTACAGTAATTTCTTCTCTTTCTGAGGTCAAAGTGTCCCATTACAATGACTCTAGTGTGTGTGTTTTTTTTTAACTGATCAGAATTATCTTTGACAACATAGAGCTTTCTCCAGCACTCCATATGTAGATGTGGATGTACCCTGTACTCATTATGCGTTGTGTACACACTTTTGTGTCTTGGAGCTGTTTGCCAAGGACAAACACACACATTAGGGCAGAATGATAAGAGCCTCATCTCATGTTTAAACCACAGCAGATCAATAACCAGCCGTATCCTGGCAACACATGCAGCCTGCCATTCCATTTAATCTTTACAGCTGTCATCATGTGGCACAGGTTGCCAGAGTAACCCCATTATTACGCAGTGGAGAATTCCAGATTGTTATCTGTGTTCTATCATAACGACCGTGACCATCTCGTTAGAGAAACAGACAGAATTAATTACACGGAATGAAAGAGAGAGGGAACAAAAGAGAGAACACTGGATGAATGAAGCAGGATGCTGTTTGCTTGAGCAGATGTCTTGAACATATATGGGCATTAGACGGACATGGCTTGTGTCCCCTTAAAATACCACTGATCAGTGATGATTAGTGAGACAAAGTTCAAATGTTTTTTTTGATACATAAAAAACATAAATAGATAAACAAAAATTCTTTAAAATAAAATTTTGTGAACAATATTTTTGTGCAAAATCCTTCTTTATTCACTAAGCATCTGCAATCAAGTTTAACCAGACTCTAATCTGAGCATCCCCCCCACCCCCCCTTTTGCTGTTGTGGTATGGGAATGCAAAAATGATTTTAAAATAATTTTCTTTGATCTCCTATTTACTGCTGTAGAACTATATGCTGTAGTTTTCTTCGGTTCATTTAGGCTTTATTCACAACTTATTTGTGCTAAAAATAATGTTGAAGGTAGCAGTAAACCATAAATGGGTGTAAAAAGTGGATTGTTTAGATTGTGGGTTTCAGTCCACTAAAAAAAAGTTTGTGATATTCTGCCTTTAATCACAGATATACCTACAAACATGGACTGGTGTCACACTATTAGCACCAGTGTGTGAAATTCAATTCATCTGCCTGTCAAACAAACGGGTATGAGTCATATTAATCACAGGGAATGTTTTTCCAAACAAACAATTATTAAAAATCAACATTATACTTCAAATCTTAAAAGCATGTTTAAAAAACAACAACAACTTGCAGATAATATATTATTAATGAAATAAAGGTCCACTTAGGTGTACTCGAAGAGAGTACAGTTTCATGACTATGTTTTTCAACACACTTAAGTAACGTCTAATTATATATATTTTTTACTTTAAAGTACATTTTAAGTCATGTTTTTAATAATCTTTTGTTATGCTTTAATGTAGACTTATTTTGATGTGTTGACTAAGATATTAAACCATATGTAAAGTACTTGATTATAATTTTAACTGTAGTGTTACTCAATATTACATTTATGTACTATATTTTAAAAGTACTATACTGCAATCCTTGTGCAAATGTGTAATTACAAATATGAATGGTATTGATATTAAAGCATATTTTCATATTTTTATAATCATATTTCAAAGACAATAGAAGTAATCAGGAAATTACATGTAAAGATGTACTTAAATGGGTCCAAAAAAAAAAACCCTATGAAGTTCAGCTAAGTGCCTTTAATATCAATTTAAACTTAATACATTTTTATAAATTTTTTTACTATTCAAAAACATTACATTTAGTTTGCACTTCAGTATTTTACTTACTTTTAATTAATTTTAAACTACATTATTTTCGTAATCAGTGCTCTTTTTTAAAAGTATGCTAAAGTTTATTTATTTTTCACAAGGGTTGTCATCATTTATGGCTGGCAACCACTTTTAGCCATGGCCGATTACCCCAACCACAGCTTAAGATATTTGGTTAGTAAGTATTACAGTGAAAGTAGATCTGGCACTGAAAATTGTACTTCTACAGTAATTGTTTGCTGAATGGTTGTTATTGTTGTCATCAGTGGAGGAAACAAAAGTAGCAATTCATATTCATGAGTAAAGCCTTCACCTTTACATCATGTCATAAACGGCCAAATACACACAGTGATTCTACCACCACTGTCCCCAAAACTTTTTTCAAATAAAGTGATGTCCATGCTGTTATGTACATAGTGCAGACACTGATACTGCATCTGCAAAAATCTGCTTCAGCTGTTCAATCTATATTCCATTTGATTGAGAATAAACATTTCACATTAGGACCAAGTCAAAGTACAGCTGCCATCTCTCTCTCTGTCTATTTTTTCAGGCTGGACAAAGCTTTATTTCAGGAAGCAAATGCACACAAAATCATTCAGTCACATAAAGCTTATCTGAGTGATTCCCTATTGCCCACGCACACATACATCATGTCCTAACCGGCGTGACAAATATATAGTATCGTTAAGTATCCTAACAAAGGTCAAATTGGTGACTAAACCTTTTATCAAAACATAAGCTTCAATAACATGAAGCTTCTTTCAGAGAGATTACCAAGATGACTGCAGGCTGGACTCCTTTATTTAAAGAGAAAATACTGTGTAATGTGACACAATAATCACCAATCAGAATAAATTTGTTGTTTAACACAAATAGATGTAAGATATTTCCTGTGAATGTGCAAGACTTCAGTTTCATTAGCCGCTATAGATAAATAAATAGAAGAATAACGTGCAGTAAACACACATATGCATAACTAGAATAATAAGTGCAGTAAACATTGCAACTATTTGCACTACAAACTAGTGTGTTTTTTGACACCAGAAGCCTTGAACATTCAAATTAAAAATGTCTGTGTCCACTCTTTTGTCAAAAATAAGGTGGACAGACAACTTTGGTCTTACCCAGATAAGACACTCCTTCTTCAGGTGTGATGGTTCCATATTTGACCATCATCTTCACAAAGTCGATCAAGGTCTTCATGATGGTGATCAGGGTTTCTCTCTCCTCTTTATCTTGCTCTGTAAAGTGAGAGAAGAAGGATGTGATAGATTAAGCGATGAGACCAGACTTTAATCTGGATTAATGTGGTGTTTGCTGAAGAACAGGGTGATAAATGTGTTTAACCAGATGTTTCTATAGACCTTATATAGCTGCTGATTTACTGAATGAGCTGTGTTGTGTTATGAGGTGTGTTACATTATTGTTTGTGTGGCTTCTGTGTGTGCTGTGCTGTGTTGCGAACAGCTTGTAACACTCCAAAGAGAAAGGAAAACTTGAAATCGCATCATATGACCCCTTTAATTTATTGCTAATCCAATATCAAATTTCACACTACAGTTAAAATTATAATCAAGTACTTTTATATGTGCTTTAGTATGTTAGTCAACACATCAAAATGAGGCTACTTCTTTCAAGCACAACAACATATTATTAAAACAAAATGGTTTAAAAGATTTTCACTTTTTAAAAGTGTACTTAAGTGTGTAATGCCCAAAGTATACTTCAGCCGTCTGTTTTCCCGCGATGGTTCGCGCACTGTCCTCGTGATGCAATTTTTTCTATCAAAAGTGTCTGTGGACACGTACAACAGCACAGCCGCGAGGTGAATGTTGAGGCCGAACGAGTCAAGTAGGTGGTTCTGCACATGTCTCGAGCGAAACCTGTGTGGATGCGGCTGTGCGCGAGACGGAACGGAACGTGGAATGTGAAGAACACTTGGGCCTTTAAAGGGGTCATATGATGCGATTTCAAGTTTTCCTTGAGAGAGGCGGGGCATAGAGGACCTACAATAATGTACAGTATTTGAAAAATAATGTGTTTTTTGAACATTAAAGCATGTCAACATATTCTGTTACACCAAATACACAAAATAATGATCTTTAAAAAAGCATCATATGACCCCTTTAAGAATCAGTGATGTAAGTTTACTCTCTTTAAGTACACTTAAAAGTGCAGTAGGAGATCTTGGAAAATGCTAACTTTAGCCTGATAGCACTGAAAGCGAACGTTCAATCGTTCCCTGCAATGTCCCCTCCCTGCAATCGCCGTCCAAAGCCACGCCCCCTGAACGCATATACGCTCACAGACCAGAATACCAGAGACAACATTACTACAATAGGCTACATCAGTGATTCCCAATTCCAAAATGTTCCGAAATGAAGTAAACTTCAACAGATTTCCCCTGCGCAGGGAGTAGGGAGCAATGAACACTGTATAGGGATCATTTCGATCGGAACACAGTTCATGCATGTAGCTCACTTCTAACGAGCTGGTTATCTGAATCAGGTGTGTTAACTAAGCGAGACATGCAAAATATGCAGAGCAGGGGGCGCGAGGACTGGAATTGAGAACAGCTGGGCTACATCATGTGTCATTCACCGGTGAGAAAACTTTAAAAGTACTACAATACCAGGAAGGAAGATCGGGTTGTTGATGTTTGTCTGCCATTCTCGCTCTGTCTGCACAGCGTGCGTGAATGCGCTGATGACGTATCCTGTCTGCGCGAACAGGGTGTGCAGAGGTATGCAAATACATATGTTGACAGGCAGGTAGGAAAGCCAGTAAAACGCTCAGACTGAGTGTTTTGATTGGACGAACATTTCTTGGTCCTACGCCTTCCACAAAATATATAAATACAGATAAATACATTTCGACCACTTAACTTAATGGTTGCTATCTGGATGTGAAGAGACTTTCAACCAGCATAACAAAATATGTTTCTGAAGACAATCACCTATTGCACCTTTAAGTGGCCTTTTATTTCATTAAGATTTTATGCAAGTTATTTTTTTAAAAATATACTTTTTAGATTTGAAGTACACTACAAGTGCACATTCAACAGTTAATTGGACTTCTTTTTCACAAGGGTGGTTTGTGGTGTACAGTATCCTCTGTGTGTTGTGTCATATATATCATGTTGTGTGTTGTATTATATTATGTTGTGCATTATGTTTTGTGTTGTATTGTTTGTTGTATTGTGTTGTGTTGTCTACCTGAGTCGAGACTCTTCAGAAGTCTGTAAAAGTTGGGGAAGAATTGAAGGTCCTGCAGTCCGTCTTCTGGATTCAGTTCGTTTCTGTCGTTCCCATCGCTCGCAGCGTCATATGAGTCTTCAGCCCTCACTGTATCATCTCTGCTCTCCTCCTCCTGTTCTTCGTCACCATTATTATCATTGCCACCATCATCATCATCACCTTCATCCTCGTCATCATATCGTTGACTGGGCCTGTCTTCCTCATCCTGAAGAAGAGAATCCAAACAAATAGAGCGATTTTTTTTGTGTGGAATTTGTGGATAAACATGCAGTTGATAGAAACACAACAGACACACAGTCACACACTCGTACCATACTGTTCTCTGTATCTTTTGCTGCATTAACAGGGTAGTCCATACTGAGGTCTCCAATCATGTTATCTTTGGCATTTTTAGTGATCAGATCCTGCAGGGTTTCAGCAACCTCATACTCCAGCGTCTCTGCCTGACTGTCTGTGATCTGAAGGACAAACAAAAGAACACCTGCTAGAACAATCAATTCACAAAGGGATTATTGTATGACAATCTATTTTCCATGCTATTTATTCTGGTTAATCTGGAATATGTTTCCCTAGAGGAATTAATACATGATGAATGATGTTTATTGTATGGCTCATCGATATGGTAGCTATCAGAATCACTGCACATGCCACAATTTGAATCTCTTACTAGACCCAACTTGAGCAGTTTAGACACAATTCTGTCAAACACTCCTCGGTCATCCTCTTCGTAGATTTTGTTGGCGATTTTCTGGACGATGTCATGAGCTGTTAGCGGGGTCCCATCCAGCTGCCAAAAACTTTCAGGATCATCTGAAAAGGAACACATTAAAATAATTCACATCACTCCTATTAAACAAATGTATCCAAACTGAATATTAAGGGCAGTTCACACCAAGGACAATAACATTAAGTATAAAGTTTTAATAATCGTTCTAATTTGATCAAAATAGGGATGTCCACACCACAACTATAATAATAAAAATATCCCTATCATATCGATTTTATCCAGATGATGAGTGATAAAAACATTGACAGCATCAGAATCCACCTGACTTTAAAGAGCTTGAGCATTTAAAATGGCAGCTTGTGCCTGTAATAAACAGAATATTATTGTCCGTTGATGTGGACACTTTATTGTTATAGTTTTTTTTTTTTTAAAGGAAAAAAAGAGGATACAGTAATGAAACCAGAATGATCCGGTTTCTTACATAACTGTACTGTATCCTCTTTTTTTCCTTAAAAGAATTAGTTCAGTTCAAAAGAAATTAATATTTTATGTCCATTTATTTAACAAGCATTTCGCCTCTAGGTCCTGATCACCTTGTCAGGTTTATTTCACAATAACTACCGGCTGACTATCCCTTACTTATTTTGGATAATAACCAGGGGCATTTCTAGCCTTTCATCTGTACTCGGGAACAGGTCCCCATATTTTGATGCTTTTATATACACTGTTCTGGATATAATTTGACCCTCTGTGCCTCTTAATTTTTGGGTCAAACTTGGTACCTCTGCGTAATATCAATGCAATGTCAAATCAATGTAATATATTTTTGTTCAATAATATATTTTTGTATTTTCATTTAGAATTTTTTATGATACTATGCAATATTTATACATTTTATTTCTGAGCTAGTTTTTATTCGATTAAAATGAATTAAACTCTGAGCCCATTCATTTTTGGGCCACACTTGGAACCTTTGTGGTCAAAAGTGACCGAAGCCTTGAAATGTAGCTTTTTATTATTTATTTATTTATTTTTATTTTATTTAAAAAAATTTTGGCAGGAAAATCAGTGTAATATATTTTTGCTCAATTATATATTTTTTGATTATTATTTAGAATTTTGAGGGGATTTTATGATACTATGCAACATTTATACAATTTTTTTTAGCAATTTTTTTCCACAGTAATTTTTGATCACAAAAGTACCAAGTGTTACTTTTTTATTTTTCGACACTTTAACATATGCGAATCATGTAAATATTTTTTTTTTGTGTGTGTGTTCACATAGCTAATGTGACAAAACTCACCAAGTGTCATCCCATTCCAATGGAGCCAAAAATTTGCTAAATTCGAAACGTACATTTTTTGGTCTGTTCTGACCAAAGTAGTGTTAATTTTGTCAGCTATTTTTAATTTAGTCTTAGTTTTAGTCCTTAGTCTTTGTCTTTGTCAAAAGTAACTTTTAGTTTTTATTATATTTAGTCAACTTTTCCTGTTTTAGTTTTAGTCAAGTTTTAGTCGACTAAATGTCTGAGCATTTTAATCTAGTTTTCATCATATTTTCGTCTTACTCTATAATGGTAATGCAATGATTGGTGTCATTTGGACAATTTACAAATTTTCATTAGATGTTGCTCTTTCACCAATAAGCACAAATCAATAGAATATCGACTCATATGCATGGTTTATTTTACCTATGTACAGATTTATAACAGGATATCAATTAGAGGCTAAACGACTTTAGATATACACTCGCACTGTCTACGTTATGAAAACTGGTGTAACAAAAACCTACTCTCAAATATTATAACAGAGAAATTCCTAATAGTAATTCCAATAATTCCAAATTGTATTAATGTTTCTCTTTTAAAACAACGGCAAAAAAGACTTATTACCACACAGAGGTTGTGTAAGTAACGTTACAATCAGCAAATCACAATCGCAAACAATACAGTCGAGATCCATGACAGAACACAGACTGGCTGAATGACACTTTCATTTAAGCAGAACATCTCAAACAGAGATCGCTGAACTCCAGCTTACTTGTACAGTAGCCTACTGTATGTCGGTGTTTTCAGATATGGCGCGTGTGAATGGTTGCCAGATTGCATAAAGCAAAAAGTCGGGCAGACCCTGCCAGAGTATGTATCCGTTTAACAGAAAATCTCTGATTGGGGGATCTGAGCTCTTGATATCTTGCAACCGTAAACATGAACGCTCGCATAATAGAGTCTCGTACAGCAGTCTGAAATGCTTTGGCTCGTAAAAAATAAAAAGGTTTTGGTAAAGTTTTTGTTCTTTTAGCTTCATTTTAGTCTCGTCTTTATCGTCAATGATACTGCACGTTCATTTAGTCTCAGTTATCGTTTAACGACCAGTGTTGGGGTAACGCATTACAAGTAACGCGAGTTACGTAATCAGATTACTTTTTTCCAAGTAACTAGTAAAGTAACGCATTACTTTTTAATTTACAAGAAAATATCTGAGTTACTTTTTCAAATAAGTAACGCCAGTTACTTTTTTCCCCATTTATTGATTGAAAGCTCTCCTGTGCCCATGTTGAGAGAAATCGGGAGTAAGATGTTACTTTAGTTCTAGAATAAATGTGAACATGCTTTAATTCATCTCACTCACAAAAAAAAAAAACAGATTTATTTTTCCTCAAAATGTAAAAAAACAGTTAAAAGCAACTCAGAATATGACGCAAAGCTGCAATAATTAAATATGTTAAATAATACAAATATCCTTTATGTATTTAATCCCATTTTATTAACCAATTTGCTGCTGACCTTCGATGATCCAATTCAACCATATTAATAAGCAAAAATGACAAAAGCTAACATTTCTTCTTCTTTTTTATTGCTGAAGAGTGTTGAACTTTCTTCTTCTGCGTTCTACTGTACAGACGTGAATTTACATTTCCTTCAGCCTGAGGCTTTTGGTGTGAAAGGGCTTTTACATTTGCCAAAAATAGAACTTTTTATATTAAAAGCAAACAAGCAAGCCCTGCCCAGATTTAAAAAGTAACGTAAAAGAAACGTAATGCATTACTTTCATTAAAAAGTAACTAAGTAACGTAATTAGTTACTTTTTTAGGAAGTAACGCAATATTGTGATGCATTACTTTTAAAAGTAACTTTCCCCAACACTGTTAATGACGTTATTATCGTCTCGTTTTCGTCAGGGGAAAACACTTCGTTGACGAACATTTTTCATCATAGACTTCGTTAACGAAATTAACACTAGACCAAAGAGGCCCATAAATGAATTGTTGATAAACTGTATGGACTGTAGGTAACCTAAATATCCACCTCATCCAGCATTCTTTTGGTCGTCTTTTTCTGTGCCATAAGTTTATTTTCTAGTGCGTTGTATTTGAAATTAGCCTACTTTATCAGAAGTTTAAAAGCTCAAAGCTCTTAAAAAGAAACTAAGTAGGAGGAGAATGTGTGAAACGGAGATCTGAATCTTGGAGCTGAAATCTGCCAGCAATTCTTGTCTGTCTGTTGTAATTCCTGTAACCCAGTGAAATCACACAGAAACACCTCCCACTCTGTTATCTGCCATTATCTACCACAGAGATTGACTTACACTGCCTTAATCGCTTCCAGTAAACTCGCTATCTGCCTGAAATGTGACACTGATCAAATGTCTGACGCTTATTCTGACAGAAACAGAGTGAGAGGTCTTCAGTAGTCTGAGTGCCTTTATGACATGACATTGTCATAAAAAAAGACTTAAAGCAGTCATATTGTAAGTTCATAATTAAGTAACTATTTAAGCAATAGTTAAATTGAGCTGCAAAAACTGCTTGTCCTTGGACAGCTGACATTGGACAGATGAATAAACACATGACTGCCCAAATGTAAATATCAGCAACACCTCTGTGTTCAGAAACATGTCCCATTCAGTCTCGGTGAGGTAAAAAGAAGTCTGTAAAATCTTCTCTTTGACTGTGTGTAGCACCTATGACTCTGCAGATCATTTGGAAGGATCCCAATGATAGAAACGAGCAGTGTGATCTTAATTTGAACAGCACAATTAAGGATTTTCATGATTTAGTCACAGTGCAATTGTGGCTATGCAAGGAGGTTGTTTGAAGGAAAACAACATATATTTCAAAAACTACATTTAACCCATGCAGCATGCATTAATATTTCATATAGTAATTTCACATGTACATACTGTTGGTTAGCCAATCATAAAAGAGGACATTTGCTTAAAATGCACAAAAACGGCATATTTAATTGTAAGGGTCATAAAGTTGAAAATGGAAATAAAAATAAATAAAAATAAATCACTGTTGAATTTCGTGCAAAAACATCATAGGAGGGGGTGGGGGAATGGTAAAAGGAATTATGACATGACCTCTTTGAGCTATTGCGCTACTATTAGGTTATAGGGTTTTTAATGTGGGTGTATGTTTAGTCTGACTGCCCTGTTGTAGGAGACTGTAGGGTTTAATGCTATAAAACGTCCAGTATACAGCAGCCTGTGGAGGGATAATCCTCTGATTCTCTCTCTCTCTCTCTCTTTATCTCTACAAAATCCTCCTGATTGACCTATGGTGTCTGCCACCTGTTCCTGTATTTAGGATCACAAGAGTCACAGGGATGGATAAGCACTTTCAAAGTGGGAGATAATTTGGTTTTTGACAGGTCACAACTAAAAAAATGTTCATGGATGTTTTACTTTTTCTTGACAAGAAGACATAAGCTATGCTCATAATAGAATATTAACAGTGACAACTGCATACTAAATAGTGAGTGAAACAGTATGCTATTTTAAATGGACGTAAAAATTGTTGCATTTTTTTAAAATTGAACTTTATGTATAAATGTCTTGACTTTTGTTAGTCTAATAAAATTATCAAAGGTGTATAAATCAAATACAGATGCTAAAATTTACACCTGGCTCATTGGTTAGACTGGATGAACCAGGTGTAAGAACCATTTCATTGTGGGATATTGTATTCCACAGAGTGTGCTCTTTGACAAACAAAGAAAATGTGTGTGCAAACAACATAATGCACAGTGCACATCAGGGGTGAGGCGGGTGGGCCTGCATAAAACAGGGTTGGCAAAGTGTAGCGTATGAAAACTACATATCAAATTGGCTACAGAAAATTCAGCACAAAGGTTCAATACACAATGCTTCTAAAGCACTGATTAACACTAACATTAATTTCAACATTTACTAATACATTATTAAAATAAAAGTTGTATCTGTCAACATGAGTTGTATTTTTATTAACTAATGTTAACAGAGATTAATAAATATTGTAACAAATGTATTGCACATTGTTAATGTTAGTTAATGCATTAACTAACGTTAACTAAAATAAGTTTATTATAAAGTATTACCTCAGTCTGAGACAACTGGGCTTCGTAGATGATCTCATAATCAAGTGTCTCTGTCAGTTTGCGTCCAAAGGATGGTAAACACTGAGGACCATAGAAATGTGCGCGGCTGCAAATATGCAGTTTGTTGTGGAGAACAGAACAGTATCTATCCACAAAGGACACATCTATCAAACACTGTACCTATGCTAATGATGCTTTAAACACGCTTGGCTCAGAAGTTTCCAATCTATAAATCCATCAAAGGCAGGTGGTCCGGTTTCATTTGCAGAATTCATTGTAGGTCTGGATTCATTGCTAAGACTTAGTTTCAATTGGGATTGATATTTGTTTCACTATTTTTAAATCCATCCCCACAAATGCGTGCATTTTACTATTATGTCCTTATGTCGTAAACATAACATTGTGAGTGGGACTAACAGAAACTGACGAATCATCATTTTGACAAGTGTATGGTATGCACTTATAGGAAGATGGAAAATTAAGAAACTGCTTGTAATTGAACATGAAAACTTACGTTTAATATATTTTTAATCTAAATATATAAAGCTATAGTGAAATAAGTCATTTATTATTACTATCTTTTAATAAATTGTAATATCAGACTCATTTAAAACATAAATGACATCCATTTGGAAAATGGATGGGCCACAGTTGAAAGTAGGTGAGCCCAGGTGGGCAAGTATAGCATACTACTACAGTATGCTATTCTGAATAAGACTTTGTTAGCATGTTAATTGTAGTTTTTACCTTGGTATTTGTAGTCCATCTCATTCTTAGTAGAGTCATAGTCATCAGCCAGTCTTCTGTTTTTGGTAGTGTCGGCCTCATCAGTACTGTATCGCTCATCCACAGAATCTGAGATGGGAGTCTCATTGTTTGACTCTTTGGACTTCTCAGCCAGAGACTTAAGGAAAGTGATATCATCATCCTCAGAGTTTAACTCTGCCTCAGCTGGTGGCGTTGGCTTGGGTTCTGCATGGATGAACAGCAAACACTTGTGAGCTATTGATCACTGTGAAGCGCTATGTCTGCATAATATTATATCTCACCTGCCCTCCTGATGCTATCAGCTTCTGCAATCTGTTGGGGGAAAATAAATAAATAAATAAAAGCACAGTCTTGACTTTTGCTTAATTTTTTATTTGAGTTTATTTGAACTTAATACATAAAACATCTTCTATACGCAGTCAGAAACAAGGGTACAAAAGTGGTCACTAGGGCATTGTACATTTGTACATTTATTCCTAATGGGTGCATATAAGTAAAATAAACATATTAGTACCTTAATGGTACATATTTGTACTTTTTGAAAAGGTACTGCCCCAGTGACAGCTTTTGTGCCTTTTTTCTGAGCGTATAGTCTTGTTTTCTAGTAAACAGTAGTTGTATCTGATGCTAAATGGAGGTATGAAGTGTATTAATCTGTGTCGTAATGGAAAATTAAGAAACTGCTTGTAATTGAACATGAAAACTTACGTTTAATATATTTTTAATCTAAATATATAAAGCTATAGTGAAATAAGTCATTTATTATTACTATCTTTTAATAAATTGTAATATCAGACTCATTTAAAACATAAATGACATCCATTTGGAAAATGGATGGGCCACAGTTGAAAGTAGGTGAGCCCAGGTGGGCAAGTATAGCATACTACTACAGTATGCTATTCTGAATAAGACTTTGTTAGCATGTTAATTGTAGTTTTTACCTTGGTATTTGTAGTCCATCTCATTCTTAGTAGAGTCATAGTCATCAGCCAGTCTTCTGTTTTTGGTAGTGTCGGCCTCATCAGTACTGTATCGCTCATCCACAGAATCTGAGATGGGAGTCTCATTGTTTGACTCTTTGGACTTCTCAGCCAGAGACTTAAGGAAAGTGATATCATCATCCTCAGAGTTTAACTCTGCCTCAGCTGGTGGCGTTGGCTTGGGTTCTGCATGGATGAACAGCAAACACTTGTGAGCTATTGATCACTGTGAAGCGCTATGTCTGCATAATATTATATCTCACCTGCCCTCCTGATGCTATCAGCTTCTGCAATCTGTTGGGGGAAAATAAATAAATAAATAAAAGCACAGTCTTGACTTTTGCTTAATTTTGAATTTGAGTTTATTTGAACTTAATACATAAAACATCTTCTATACGCAGTCAGAAACAAGGGTACAAAAGTGGTCACTGGGGCATTGTACATTTGTACATTTACTCCTAATGGGTGCATATAAGTAAAATAAACATATTAGTACCTTAATGGATCCAACTAAAGAAGCTCAGAGTAACGTCTGCTGTAATCTCATTCACATCATCTGATCATTTAATATACCATACACAAAAATACAAACAATTCCTGGCTAATTTAAGTTCATGTATTTACAATTTTAATTGCTTTACAATTTCCACTATTATTACTAATATAACCAATTCTTTCAAAGGATGCATATCAAGATGCTTGCTCAAGCATTTTTTTATATGATCTTTTTTTAAAGGGAAATGCAGTTTCATCACCATTGTAAAGAACTTTGAATTCATATCAGGGTGGAGGTTTCCATAATTTGCAAATGCCGATAAGTGTCATGTGGCAAGATGGCAAATGCCTCGACACAATGGGCGAGATTGACAGTAATGGCAGCTGTGACAGCATGGTCAGCTTCAATTCATGCTTCGTAAGACATACTTTTTTTATGAATACATACTGTACATATTGTTAAAATACATTTAAATACGCTATACATCTCCAGTTGTTTGATGTGTCTAGAAAACGCTGATAAAATATATTAAAGTGTTAGTTCACCAAAACATAAAAATTCTGTCATCATTTACCATGTCCTTCCAAACCAATATGATTTTCTTTCTTCTTTGGAAGATGATATTTTGAGGGTTGTTTTGGGCCCCACTGCCTTTAAGACAAAAACATTCTTCAAAATATCTTCTTTTGTGTTCTGAAGAAGACAGAAGAAAGTGCAAGTAGTACAAAGGTATGCAAGTACCAAAATTTTTATTTAAATGGTACATATTTGTACCTTTTGAAAAGGTACTGCCCCAGTGACAGCTTTTGTGCCTTTTTTCTGAGCATATAGTCTTGTTTTCTAGTAAACAGTAGTTGTGTCTGATGCTAAATGGAGGTATGAAGTGTATTAATCTGTGTCGTATACATAACACAGTGATTAACAATAAGTTCATATTTTTGAAATCACACCTGCTGTTCTAATGGCTTCTCCTCAGTCAGCTCTCGGTTAGGCATGCTTTTATCTGGATGAGGAAAGAAACACACACACACACACACACACACACACACACACACATGTAACGGAGGCGGTGCCGTGACCCGGATGGGAGTGAGGTTTAGGGGGGTGAGTGTGACGGAGGCCAGCGAGTAGGTGCTGTGCAGGTAAACCTCACTCCCCTGATCTCAAGAGACGCACTAGCAACTAACGCTAGAGGCTGCAGTCTTTAGCCTCCTTGTTAGTGCGTCCGCCTCCCATGCCAGAGACCCGGGTTCCCGGGTGTGGCGGTGAGGACCCGGGAGAGAGGGGTTACACACACACACACACATTCAATAAAGGCAAAGATCACTGATGGCAGACCAGTAATTGCTCTCCTTCAAGAGACACTTCACCCAAAAACGGAATTTATTTTTGTGTTCCACAGAAGAAAGGAAGTCATACCGTTTAGAACAATATGAGAGTGAGTAAATGATTACAGAATTTTTCTTTTTGGGATAACAAAAACACATACCAAAAAATAAAAATAATAATAAAAACTGCAGTATCACTACAGTATCAGGCTCAGATTACTATTGGTGGGTTATTACATTGTAACTATAATGTAAAGACATCGTAACAACATAAATGCATTTTTGAAAAACAAAATCTGTGCACCTCACCTATGGTATATTAATATAATTTATAATTTGACTATAATTTTGAAGGAATCAAGACACTCTACATTACACAAGACTATTTTTACCCTAAAATAAAATGGCCATTAATATGCATTTTCTTCACTCTCTCTATAGTTGTTGTGAACTTTGATGCATTCAGTTGCAGTCCAAACTGTCCAAGAGAAGCTGCCACCGAATAATCTGATTACAGGACAAAATATTACAGGCCTTTGAAAACTGGGGCTAGAGCTTCCTATACAATAAATGATGAAAACAACAACAGCAACAGCAAAATAAACCATACAATTCATTCACCTTCTTCCCACATTTAGACTATATGGAGTTGTCAGCTAATATGGGATTTTCAATGGTAATATCTGATGTCCAACATAATCCATATGCAGCCCTGTAATTTATATATATTTAAAATACAATTTAACATATTGTTGAAATTAAACAAAGATCTTTTACTCAGTATTTACTTTCATTTAAAAACAAAGCATGTGCACGCTGAAGTCCAGACATGTGTTAATGAGTTAGGTGGACGCTCTCGGTAATATCAAAATAGCAAAATATCATCTGATTAATTTACGTGGCCTATATGGAGAATTTGTAATTTTATTACACGTTGCATGTTTTTTTTTTTTTTTTTTTCCATTCAATTAGATTAATCTTCTAAATCAAATAATCCATATGTTATAATATATTGGACTATAGGCTTTCTGGCTATTCAATAACTCACCGTCGGGTCCGGCAGGTGTGGGAAACGTGCTGGTCTGCGATATTACAGCAAGGATAACCACAAACCCTACGCGTTTTGACGCCATCCTTCAGCTGGTGTCCGAATTTATTTTCTCTTTCTCTCTCTCTGTTGTCCTCTGTGAGGTTTTGTTTTGTGTAGCGCTCTGGTGTTGGCTGGATGCCGCGCGCTCTCAGCGCCTCTCCTCTATGATCGCTAAGGCTTTAGTTCTGCGGGAGCTGTTGAGTCCCTGCAGTGCTGAAACCAGGTCGCTGGCTATAATTATCAACGGATAAGCTGATGGCAGCTCCTTGAGTATAACGGGCCCTGACTCCAGCAGCTCATGGATGGATGGAGGAGGAGGAGGAGGACGGCACGATCACATCCGCCCATGTGCGTCAGTCTGAAGCACCTGCGTCACACACGCATTCATGATGCGGGGCAGTAAAAGATCAATGAGCGCAATAAAGAGCAGATAAGAGACAAGACAGCACTCTGAAAAGAACCGATTTTTGACAATGCGTACTGAAATGCAAATTAAAGATTTGACGGTAACACTTATGCACACCCCTTCAAGTAAAGTGTAACCGATTTGACCTGTTTTGATAATCCACTGTTATGCTTTGAGGTACACATGCGTTGGGATAGATAGATAGATAGATAGATAGATAGATAGATAGATTTAGATTCAAGATTTTAGATTCAATAAATCATTTGTAAAATACATGCAAAACTTTACTTCAATAAGAAGGTGACATGCTAACTCACCTGACATTTATGGAGGAAAAAAAAAACCCCTTGTTCTACAAAACTGTTCACAGATCAATATTCTCAGTTGTTTACCCAAAGCTGTTATAAAAATGAGATTATATAATTTTAGTTTGAAGGACAGAATTTACTGAAATGATTCTAATTTAAGAACGTCTTAAACTAGAGAGCAGCTTATAAAACCACTAGTAGACAAATTAAAAAATTGTTTAATTAGACTTTTGATCAAAAACCTTGCGCTATAAACAATGTCCTCGTGTAATACAATAGGAATAATATTGCAATATGTTAGCTGAAATAATACAAAGAGAAATTATCAAATGACTCATTTCATTTTCCATTTCTCTTTGCTTGTTAACTTTCGGATGCATCCTCATATTTATCTTGGACTTACTATACTTACAATCATTGAGTCTATATCTCTATTATATATGTATTACATATATCTAATCCTTACAGAAGTTGATGTACATGCTTATTATGACTTTATTGTGAAAATATAAAGATACATTAAATATGTTATGCATATATAGACCAATTATCTGTTAAGTATTATTTAATATTATAATCTTTGTTATTATTTGACATGATTTATGTAGATTGTCTTGAGAGGTTGTGAGTTGTTCATGGTGAATGTGTTCTGTGCAGGAGGAGTGTGTTAAACAGCTCATGACTAGAGAGCAGCTTATAAAACCACTAGTAGACAAATAAAAAAATGGTTTAATTAGACTTTTGATCAAAAACCTTGCGCTATAAACAATGTCCTCGTGTAATACAATAGGAATAATATTGCAATATGTTAGCTGAAATAATACAAAGAGAAATTATCAAATGACTCATTTCATTTTCCATTTCTCTTTGCTTGTTAACTTTCGGATGCATCCTCATATTTATCTTGGACTTACTATACTTACAATCATTGAGTCTATTTCTCTATTATATATGTATTACATATATCTAATCCTTACAGAAGTTGATGTACATGCTTATTATGACTTTATTGTGAAAATATAAAGATACATTAAATATGTTATACATATATAGACCAATTATCTGTTAAGTATTATTTAATATTATAATCTTTGTTATTATTTGACATGATTTATGTAGATTGTCTTGAGAGGTTGTGAGTTGTTCATGGTGAATGTGTTCCGTGCAGGAGTGTGTTAAACAGCTCATGAATGCCTCTGCAGGTCACATGCATGAGCTGTGTCAGTGCATACAGTCTGTCAGGTGACTTGTGACCCCAAACACCTTCATCAAATGAACATTCTATCATGTGTCATGCTGAGAATAATAAACATCTGATTATTGAGAAATCATTATCAGCTTGGCAGATGCATTTGAGATACATCCCTGTTCCCAAATTCTGCAAAACATTTTTGAATTTTATTTTATTTCATTTTATTTTGTTTTTCCTTAATTTTATTTTTTTTTACAAATATTTTTATTTCATTAATTTTAGTCAGTATATGTCAGGGTAGGTTTATTTCAAGGTCAATTGTATAGGCCCATATAAAGTCTTATTAAAATTGCTGATGAATATTTTAGAACGAATGCATAGTGAACGTTTGTGCAAATAGCCCAATGCTGCCACAATGGGAATTTGCCATTAGCCTATGTCTTTCAGACTTCACTGAATAAAAACATGCTGTAAAATGTTCATATCTGAACCAGTTTTGCCTTTGCTAAATAATTCTCATACTTGATATATTTTCTTTACACATAAGCCAAAATGTTACTTAATGTAGATCTTTTTTTTTTATTTGTACTCAGTGTCATCATAAAAGCTAAATATAATTTGAAATATAATTTTTACTTTTAAACATTTTGTTAGTCAATGTTTATTTTAGTTTATATACTATAAAGGCAACTTTGAAAGACCTTAATGTTTATTATGAGGCTTTTTTCATCAAAATATGCATCATATTTTTGTTATGTACTAAAAAAGGGAGGAAGAAAGAAAAAATGAAAGAAAAACAAGATAATCTCTGCAGTTAGTAAAGCTAGCCAGTATGTGTTCTGCACATCAACACTCTGTTGTCAAGTGAAAATTCGATTCTAAACAAAGCAATTTTTTTTCTTCTGTGCAGAGTGTTATTTAGACAAAATAAACAACACCTTTATTTTCAACCAATAATTGTTTCTTTATGTCTTCTGACCATTTAGGGTAAATTTGTCTTTGACCTGTTAAATTGTTTGCTTGGTACATTGAAGGAATGACAGGGTTTGTGGGCACTGTTTCTAATTAATATGACAGGTTCACTTTTCACCCACCACAATCATGTCAAAGCAGATTTTCACTGATCTCAGAGCAGTAATGTTTTATAAAGTATACAATGTTCCATATACATTCATAATATTCATTTATGCTAATCAAGGCATCACCTTTTACTGTGTATATGCTGATATGCTTCTGTCCATGTATGTTTGGAGCAGACAGTTCTGTGTCTGTGTGAAAGTGGGACAGAGGTCAGTCAGCTCTTCTCTGTGAGTCTGAACACAACAGGCTCTTTGTTCAGATTCTTCATTAGCGCTGCTCCACATGTTCTGCACCGCATCAGTCTCTCAGCCTGTGACACGCATGCATCAGTTTCCGCATCATAAGGAAGACCGGGCTTTTCTTGTTAAAGTAATGCAGCTTCTAATCATTACAGCCAGTGAGTTGAGAATGCAATGAGGCAGCACTGATAAAACAAAACACAAGGGTATTCACAAATATGCCAACACAATATTTTTTTTATAAATAATATAATATATATATATAATCTTGTGTATAAAACTGCTAGTAAATTTCACAAATAGTTACAAAGAAAAATAAGGGATTTTTGATGTGTTTATTATTAGTGTCCAGTAGAGGTCACTAACGTCCTATTTCTCTATGAGAATGGAGGGAGATTAAAAAGAGGTGGATGTTCTAACCCAGGGATTATGACACATCGTACATTTTTGCATCTATGTTCCTTTTTGCAATACCTGAAGTGCTCTTGAGGAAGCTTCAAACTGATGGGAAATGCGAAAGTGACCTTAATGTTAAATTTGTCTTGGCAATTATCTTGGTGTTAGGAAACTCTGGAAAACATAGGTTGTACAAATTAGATGTGACCTAGGATTAGAAGACAGGACCACAAATTGAACAGACTGTACTTCAGCATCGTTTCATGTGCGTTAACAAAAGCAGCCTACCCTTGTTAGTTAGGTCTACTCTCTGCTATAGAGTGTTATAGGCTAGCTGTTAGTAGAGGGTTTGGCTTGTTAGTTTGTTCCAATTATCTGTTAGTCTGCTTGTAGATGTTTTAACTACACCATTCAACATTCACTATTCTGCAAAAGGCATATAAAATATACATATACATATAACAAATATTTCATAATATAATATAATATAATATATTGTTTTGGAGGAAAATGTGCCGATAGTATACTTTAAAATAGTGTTCCCTTTCGAACGGTCTCTCCCGTTTCGTCACTGAAGCTTTGGGGAAACTCCTGTTTACTCCGTTACTGAAGCCTGATTTGTTCACGCTCATGTAACCAATGGTGCTTCAAACTGCCAAACGGGGAGGAGCTGACCTCTATATAAGTCCGTTCTGAGCACCATTTCATGAGAATTTTTCTCCTTAAGCGATTGGGCAGTGCCCAAGCAGAGGTACGTTCACTGAGACAGAATGCTCTCACTGCGAGAGCATGAGTCTCGCCCTTCTCTGCTCATGGACCGCCTTTTTTAAGGAGCGCGGTCCTTCCTGCTCTGCTCTCCCGTTTCCTCTCTCCCCTAGGAGAAAGAAACAGCGGAGCAGTGGGGCTCGAGTGATCCCATGCCGGCACAACCCCCACGTGCTTCACGCTCCCCCCAACACCTTGATTCGCCAGTGTGTTTCACACGTGAGGATCAGCGTCCCTTGTCGGCTGTGAGCAGCTTGATTTCCTTCGGTGCATCTGAGGAAGACATCGCCGTGGATGACTACATGTCATTGACTGCTTCAGATGCTGAAGAGTGGGCGTGCTCCAGTGAAGAGCCCGAAACTCCACCTCTAACGCAGACAATACGGCCCAGCTTGGAAAGTGAGCTGATCCGCGTTCTTTCTAAGGCTGTGGAGGATCTTGTTGGCTCCGGCAGAGCCCGCTCACAGCCTCCTCAACAAGTGGTACCTAAAGGGATGCCGTCAACATTCCTCCCGCCAACGGCCCGCTCCATTCTTGCTGGCAGCTCATGAGGAACTCACCAAGACGTGGCGCGCCCCCTACGAGGCCCATGATAATCCCTCTACTTCTTCCGCTCTCACCACTGTTGACGGCGCTGAAGAAAGAGGTTATGGCAAGCTCCCCCCTCTGGAAGAGGCGGTCGCTGAGTATCTGTGCACTGCGTGCTACTAAGGCCACCGCACAGGCGATCAGCAAGGCCGTGGCCAATTTGGTGGTGCTAGAGCCACCTTTGGCTGAATCTGACGGAGATCAGGAACACTGACAAGGTCGCCTTTCTAGACTCGCCAGTCTGTTTGGACTGTTTTCTCCTGCTGTGGATGGGTTTGCTGAGCGGTTTACAGCAGCACAGAAGTCATCGAAGGCATTGCGTCACTTCCTGCGGCAGCTAGTTCA